ATTTCAGTCGTTGATTAACCTCATTCCTGTTTTGGTATATGCTTGTTTTAATTTGTTATCTTGTTTTATTTTTATTACTCATCAGGTGTATTTGGGTTCACAGGGTTTAAGTAAATTATTTAAATTGTTTTAAATCAAATTCTGTGAAACATAACCATATAAATTTTTATTGTTGTTTTTATTGTTTTTAACTTGTATTGTGTCTTTTACCTGTATTGCTATGTATCGCTTTTATTTGATTTATCTCTTTAGTTGTACAGCACTTTGTTTGAAAGCGCTTTATGAATAGTTATTATTATTATTATTATTATTATTATCCATCCATCCATCCATTCGCTTCTGCTTATCCTTTTCAGGGTTGTAGGGGTGCGCTGGAGCCTATCCCAGCTGTCAAGGGGCGAGATGCAGGGTACACCCTGGACAGGTCGCCAGTCTGTCGTAGGGCCTATTGTTATTATTATTATTATTATTATTATTATTATTATTATTATTATATGCTTTTATTTATTCACTTACTAATACTAATGTATTAGTAATACTAATTTTACTAATGTAAAAAATAAATTATAAAATACAAAAAACAACTATTTATAATTCAACTTTTAACTATTTAAATTTTAAATGTTTTCCTTTTACACAAATTTAAAGTGAAACGAAACAAAACAAAACACGGCAAACCACAACACAATAAAATATAAATTAAAATATGCAAAACATATTTTCATGTAGGCCTGGGATGATTTTTTGGGACAGTGTTTTCCTGCTTAGAATTGCATACATTGTCACGGCCAGCTCTCTCTCTCTCCCATGCAGTGTGTGTTTAGCATTTAACAAGCGTCTCTTTGTGTACAGATTCCCTGGACTGTTTTCCTGGTGTGCTGATTTGTGTCTGGATTGTGTGGAGAGAGACGAGCGTGTTCCCCTGGATTTTCCCCGGAGCCCTGCCCCCTCACCTTTTGTACATAGCACTGCCCCGCACCCTTGTAAATAGCACTGCCCCTTATCTGTGTATATACAATCATTGGACATTGTTCTGTGATAAATTCTCTTGTGTGCATCATCCCCGGAGTCCAGCGCGTGAGTCCACCTTGTACGTCGTGACATACATAGGATTCAGTGAATAAACTTTCTGAATTCTTTATCATCCACAACTGAAAATAGTTGGAAATCAAGTGCAATCATTTTTGCCAGGTCTTTATCAATTGGGTTCTGTTTTGCTGGCATCACAGACTTCTGCAAAAACTGTCTAATAGAGCTCTGGGTTGGTTTAGGTGGTTGTGGTGGTATACTGCAAGATGCTGTAGATGCAGCCACAGCAACAGTTGTAGTAGACACACACCATTAATATCACACTCAACTGACTGTGTTTTATCTTCCCATTGCACTGATGGTTGGAGAGTTCTCAGGTGCCTGTGCAGGTTGTTTATGGAGCCGGCTCTGTATGATATCCTTTTCTAGCAGACTCTACACGCTGCCTATGTATTGTCAACAAAATTGAAATGGTTCCACATTTTGCTTCTTTTCGTGGTGTCACTCATTTTCTTTACTGTACCTTTCTAATGTGACGATGTTGTCTCTTATTGTTGTCCCTGGCTCTCACTCTCACTCTCCCTCTCCCTCCTGCTCTGTTCCTGTGCTACTGCGAGTGTAACTACTGCCCCTCCCCATCTGCTCAGCGCAAACACAAGGCTTATGTGCGGCGAAAAGCGAAAAAAAGAGAGAGAGAGAGAGTGAGAGAAAAAACAAACAAACCATGGCTCCCATTAAGGAGGTACTTGAAATTATTTATGCCACAAGTTGTGTTTCCTTTCCTGTAGAATACCCAGAATTTATGTATTCTTTAAAAATGAAAAAAAGAAAAGCTTTTCTTTTTCTTTTTTTGTTTTGGCTAAATGGTTATTGTTTCACACCTGGTTCTTCCTGGTCTTGGACACTTTCTCTCTATCCCTCTCCTTCCTCATTCTTCTTTCTTTGCACTGACAATTACACAAACATACTGTATTCATTAAGAATGTTTTTTCTCTCTCTGTCCTTGTGCTGCCATTGCAAAGGTAATTGTACCAATTAAAAAGAATTTACAACAGATAAAAGATATAAACTGATTCAGATCAATTTAAAAAAAAAATTCTAATTAAATATCGACTCTTTCATTTGACTTGTACTCACTTTTTCTTCTTTAAACAAATATGTCCAAGATTGGGAAAAAAAGGAATTAAACATAATTTATTCTGTTTGGTTCTGTGCTTCAACACACTGTCAATAAATGTACTGTAGATAAACAATTAATAGGAAACTTTAACAAACTGAATTCACAAAGTACATTAACTCCTTGGATGGCAAGAAGCAATATGGCTCAGAAAGCTAAAATAGATTTCAATATCTAGCAATCTAGCCTATGTTCGCTAATATTAACATAACGAAATTTGGGCATCCTTGGGGCCCCCTACAAAGGGCATAATCTCATCTTAATATTTACATTATTAAGTAATCCATCCACCCATCCATTCATCCATCCATTTGTTTCTGCTTATCCTTTTCAGGATGCTGGAGGATGCAGGTGCTGGAGCCTATCCCAGCTGTCTTAGAGTGAGAGGCGGGGTACACCCCGGACAGGTGGCCAGTCTGTCGCAGGGCTAACACGGAGGGACACAGCCATAGACAACCAATTGCTCTCACATTCACTCCCACATTCACACCTATGAGCAATTTAGATTAATCAATTATCAGGGCCATGCAGAAACGTTTAAAGGGGCGAGTGCTCAAAGCTAAAAAGGGGCACATTGAGCCAGGCTGAATAACAACAACACACATTCATCAAGAATCGAATATGGGCAACAAGGCAAAGCAAACGTAGCCTATGTTTTACCTGATGGGTACAATGTTGCTGTTAAGGTGTTGCTGCTGCTCCTGCTGCTGATAGTGCTGGAGGGCAGGGCTGTGCTGATCTGAGACTGTAGACATTAAAAACTCCATAGGAGAGATGGTAGCTGATTAAACAAGTGTCATGAGATAATAACAAAATGCAAAGATTGGTGACATAAGGCAACAAAAAACTGAGAAATAAACTAGACTGTGAATCACTCTTTGCTTCTCTTCTTCCTTCCATCCCATCATTTCATATATCACTCTCCACTTGCTGTCCATCTGAGAACAAGGCACAACTTGCTATTGCAATAAACCATTATTTAATTATCCACACTTAACAACTCTTACACTTAATCTATAATAAAATGATGACAGAAAAATGTTATAGAAGCAAAACATTTCAGTTGTGCTTATTATTTTTGTTTATACTGGAATACCTCTCCAACAACTGGTACATGTGTTAATGTTACCTGTGCTCTTTCTAATCCAGCTGCTGAGGGATCCACTACCTTTAGTAGCCTCACACAGCTCCTACTGTTTCCTCCTCATGTCCTTACCAGCCATGTCTGGACAATGATATATCATGAGTAATAATTTAAAAATCCATATACATAAAACACACACATGCACACACAGTGACATTTTAGACCTTCTTCAGAATACTGTATATACTGTGGGCACAAGTTTCCATCATGGTGCTGATCCAGAATCCTTCCCTTATTATTTATTACTAGAGCTAAAATAATAAAGCAATGAGGGGAAAAAAGTAATAAATATGAAATAATGTATTTATGATGATTCCATTTGTTTCACTATCCACTCTGTGCAGGGGCAAAGCTTATTACATTTTTAAACTGTAGAGATACAATAATTTTGCTGCTGTAAAATCAGCATTTTGTTTTATTTAAAAAATAAATCTAATATAATCTGTTTCTTAATGTATGTTCTTTAAAATACAGCGTGTTTTTTTAAATATTATAATTATAATCATTATTATGTGGACATGCATATTAGATCGTTTTTTAGTGAAATATAATCCCTCCAGAAAGGCAGGAAAAGCCCGGAAACTTACTTTAAAATATGTTCTAAATACTTTAAAACTAAATATGTTCCCTAAAACGGTGACAGAGCTACAGACCCATGACAGCCTTACACAGGTAGCCAGCAGCTATGACCAGCACTACTTGTGCAGTTAATAAAAGGACAGGTGATGTTTGTCGCGCTGTTGCACACACAGCACGCTCGTTTGTTTCAGTTCGTCAGTTGCAACAAGACAGCTTACCAACGTGTACGTAATAAGCTAATACTCCTGTGTGCTACACACTACAGTGTACGCTGTACACCTACTTACTGGTTTTGTCGCATCAGTCTGTGTCTCTGAGTTAACTTGTGTTTCTCCTACAGCTCCGGACCACAAAAAATGCGCGTGCTCTTTGTGAGCTCGTTCCCGGCTCGTAACCAGCGCGTTCTGCCGTCAAGGGCGATCATTGGTTAAATGTGATCATGTGACTAATACAAGCCAGATCCTTTTATTTAGCAAAACTGTGATTAATAGTTAAATATTATTGTTGAGGGGCAGGACTCCGCACGCACACACACATATAAAAAAATAATTGCCTCAACAAAAGGGCACTTTGGGCACCCATCAGGAAAGGGGCGGGTGCTCAAGCCCCTTCCGCCCCCCCTCTGCACGTGCCTGTCAATTATCCTATCCCCACTAACTGCATGTCTTTGGACTGTGGGAGTAAGCATTAAGTAATAATCGTAATAATTTAGGAACTATTACTTACAAACTACTTACATTTACTTACAACTGTTTTGTTTGCTGTAAAAACGGACTTTTTACCATCTTAGTACTTTTAAGCAAATCCAACTATCAGAACCAACAAACAAAGTTAGAATATTAGTTGTGAGGTACTTGCAAAACTCTGGTGTTTGATCATTTTTGTCAGTTTTTTCTTAGTTATATGCTTTTCTCCCTTCCTGGAAAGAGAAAAGTGAAAACATATATATGCACTGTGACTAATTCAAAAACTTTACAACTATGGAGACTTTGAGTAACATATAAATAAAGCTCATAATAATGCTGAATAACAACAATTAAATATAATCACTTTTTAATCAATTAGTCATTTTACTTGCTTTTACAAACTTACGTGATAGTTGTTGTATTCAAAAACAACCATGTATGAGAAAGCCTTCTTTTGTCTGTCACAGCTCGAGCCAATCAGCAGACCCTATACTGAGACGTTGATGAGTGTGTTGCCACGACAACGAACCAAGACAACATTGACTTGCGCGCTGGTAACTGGCTGACAGAGGGCTTGATGTAAGGTAAAAAGTTCTTCGACACAACGGTGAGTTCTTATTAAGATGCTTGTTTGTGCAGTCTGTTAAACGATCCATTATTAACGTTAAAGTGAACGCATAGAGTTCTTACAGCCTATACTGTATGTACAACTACGGGATCCACGGTATTGTGAAGTGCTTAAGAGAGTGAGAATATAATGAAGTGCAAAGCTCAGCGAACAGTAGCCTACAACTGTTAACATAAAAACAATGCAAACATGAATAAAACAGCTAGGCTTTAGAGACTGTTTATGCTCCTCTTCTTCGTCAGTGCTCCAAAATTTTCTTATTCACACGGAGCACTGCACTCCGTCTAGGGGTTTCTTAAACTTACCAGCTAACACAACGACTTCTGAATAAATGTGATGTCGTGGTCTCGCTCGCTCTCTCTCTCTCTCTCTCTCTCTCTCTCTCTCTCTCTCTCTCTATATATATATATATATATATATATATATATATATATATATACACATCCCATTTTTTTCTTCTTTTGGTTACTCAAATGTTTCTACGGTCACATCAACGACAAATTTCCTTTTACTGATTCAAAAAACCCATATTTCATTAAACAGTAATGCGGCCATGCTGAGAAAGCACTTGATTTCTGAAATTGAATCTAAATCTTCAAATTACTGTACCATAAGTATGTATGACATAAACTGAAGTGGACATGGTATACCATGTCCACTGTTTGCCAGGTCTCTCTTGGAAATGAGATTTTTAATCTCAATGAGATTTTTTACCTGGATAAATAAAGGATTAATAATAATAATAATACAGCATATAGATTTCAGTTGTTAAAGACACACCCTAATGCTACTTCTGAACCTGATATGATAACTGAAACATAAAAAATGGATGTCTAGTTTATGACTCCATGTGTTCTCTTGTGTTCTTCTGTTTCCTTTCTTGCAGGTGATTTTGCCATACAACATATTCAGAATGAGCATCACTCAGGTGAAGAAAAAGGCATCCCTGCTATGCAACAATAAGCGTGTGAAGGAGGGGAAAACAAGGAGGGTGAGGTTCTAACTTGCATTTTTTTCCTTTTATCTCTGTAATTTTGAAGCTGCTTGCAAGTTATGTTGTGAAATATAGCCATATGACAGCTTTGAGGTGACAAGGAAATGAAGATGTTACAGCAGATGTCAGAAGTGGGATTTTCTGACAAATAAACAGCATTCTATTTTCTTGTGACCTACTTCTTGCACGCTGTCCCATTCTTTTTTAAATAATGCTTAAAATGACACGTTGTCCTAATAATCACTTTGGCTTCTCATGTAATTCTCAAATGAATTATATGACTACAGTGTTTTGTTGCATTGACCTCAGCCTAACCATTTTAGCTCTCTTCCACTTCACTTACAATTTTCTCAGGTCAGAATGTGGAATATTGATGTCCATACTTGCTTACTTATTTGGTAAGATTGTAAAAAAGAAAAAATTAGGCTCATCATCAGTGTGAGCTGCGCTGTTACACACTTGACAGAAACTAGGTACAATGTTCAGGGATGCAGTGGAGGGATTAACATTTTCTACTCTGCATTAGTTGTCATTTCATCTCATGCTCTAAAATATTTAATATTTTCAAAATAAGTGCATCCAGATAGTCTTTAGATTTTATAAAGACTTCAATCTGTGATATTTTGAAACTAAAAGACTTAGTTTGTTACGAGAAGCCACCAGTTTGCTTTGTTTCCGTTTAGATATTGGAATCCATCAAGATTTTAAATAGTCAGATTTCCAAAATAAAAGCTCCCTCATTAGATATGGAAAATAACATGTTCAGAAATATAAGATAGGTAATGACGGATAATCAAATCAAATTGTAAAAAATATTCTATCTGCTGCAGATGCTCGTTTTACAATCTTGTGGCATTTATCTCTCTAACTGCATAATAAATGAATAATAATTATTATTATAATTATTAATGATAAAAGCATAAATATTGCATAAGCAGTTTTGCAGTTATGTTATTCATTTAGATTTAGAGTTAAGCTAAAATCATTTTCCTTCAGAGAGACTAAGTGCAATTAGTTGTTTTTTTGCTTTAGGTGCACCAATGACAGAGGATTATGTAGAAAATACAATACCCAAAAAATGATGCACAAAATGAACATTATTTGAGTTTATGTTATGCAAGCATTAGAGCTGTAAGCTGAGCTGTTTCAAGAGCAATAGCCTACAGCTCAGCGCCTCATTACTGCTGATTAGGAGACCGTAAATAGGCCTGTGTTGCTGTGTGTTTGCAGGTGACTCCATCAGTTTTCTCCCAGGAGATGTTGCAGTCCACAGAGGACGCCTGAGTAACACAGCTGAGGTGCACCCACCTCGCATCCTGGAGTTGCTTGACCTGAGCGCCGCTCCACATCACAAAGTAAATGCCAGCTATAATTCTGTGATATCACACTAGTTAAAAACTTTCTTCCTATTACACACAGTGATACAGTATAACATTAACTGGAACCAACAATACATGGCAACAGTCTACCGTAAAAGGTGCAAATTGAAAGGGAGTTCTTATTTTTAAATATTTTCTTTGATATCACTTACTCCTGCCTAGCCTATTGCCTAGCAATATGTAGAGACTCTTGTGCTGCAGAAACAGCTCAGACCCTTCAGGTGAAGAACTGTAGAAGGCCGCGGTTGAAATAATCAGGAATTTGACTCAATCACAGCACATTTGCCTGATCACCAGTCTGGTGATTTTTCACGCTCATCATTTGTAGAGTTGTCGCCACATTATATTTTCTCCCATAATTGATTGTATATTTTAAAATTGCATCTGCACAAAAGCTAGGACTGCATAAAAAAGAGATGATTAATATTATGGCATCATACTGTGTGTCCATCTTTTCACTGTTAATTAGGAAAAACATGTTTTCTTTTTACTGCTGATCATTACATCAATATGAATAAAAAGCTTGTTTAAATATTTACAAATATTATCATGTGTTTGTGCTCACAAACCAGCAAGCAAATGCACTGTTCAATACGTATTTAGTGCAAAGTATGAGGTGAATTTGAAATCTAAAGCATTGTCTCTGTATGTGTGTTGGCTAGGGTTCTTTCCAGATATAGATCAGCCGCTTTTCAGCCCTACCCTTCTGAGTTGGTCTTCCAGAATTCTCTCCTGGACAGACCTACAAGTTACCATTGCTGCTTCTCAACAATGACAAGGTATATTAATTATAAGAGTAATGAAGATCAAATAATTTTGAAATCAGCATGACTGTCAAGCCTATATTTGAATCAGAATATTTGTGAAACAACACCGCTGCAGCATGACTATTTGAAAAAGAGAAATGTGGGGAGTGTGAAGAAAAGGTCATTGCTGACTGGAGGAAATCTGAATAAGATACCATGATAAGATACCGTTTTCAAGCAATGATTAATAATCACTACCTTTGTCCTTCTTGCTGTGCTGGGTTTATGCACTTATCTACAGTTTATGTTTATTTTTTGTTCAGGTTTCACGGCAAGTGAAGCTGGAGCAGCAGAACTCCGTGTATTTCAGTGTTTTGCCTTCAAGTGATGCACGCAGCAATGTTGCACCAGGAATGTCTGCCACTTTCACAGTCTTCTTCACCCCACACGAAAACAAGGTACAAGAGACGTTTGCATTTGATTGGACTTGCAGCACAAAAACAAAGAAGCCTAGACTGAGAGAACAAACACAAAGTCACAATAACCACATATAGGATGAGGATAACCTCATATGATCTTGTATAGCCTTACCAGACTTTCTGCATAAATGTTTCATGAAGTCTCAGTTAGAATCAGAATCCACTAAAAAAAATTGTCCTAAATGTTGAATTTAACTAATTAATTACACGTAAATTTCTGTGTAATTTGGTACGTAAATACAATATGAAATCAATCAAGAGAATATACTTGATTTGTATACATTTTCCTTAATGTTTAATTATTTCAACAAATAACCTTCTGATTTGTCACATATATAATTTAAAAATGTTTTTTTAATTATTGGTTCATGTTTATTAAGGAAAGAATCGTTTTTTTTATTGTTTAAGGGTTAGGACTCAAGTATGATATTTTTGGTTAGTTTGTATTTACATTTGAATAACTGAGCAGCTAATGGAATAAACAGCTTGTTTCGCTCACCCAAACCTGCAGCGTCAGATGGCTGCCACTTCCTGAGCTTCATTATGTCTGTGGTTTCCTCCCCACTGTCACAAAGTTGCTGATGGATCTCTATATTACTGTAGGTCTTTGCTGCCTTGAGTGACTGTTTGTGAATTGATGCTATAAAATTCAGTGTAAGAATCAACTGGATAAAATTGACTGCTTGTATGCCCAAATTCAGTGGCACAAATTATTTAACAACTGATATAATAAAGTATATTGAGTTTATAGAGTTTGTGTGGTTGCAACAGGCTTTTCTCCTTGTCTACACAGGACTACCACATAGACTGGTTTGTGTGACAGAGAGGGAAAAGTTTGAATTCCAATCCGGGCCATTGGGCCACGTGCCATTCTTGACTTTCGAGACAAGCTTGACTTGCCCGTGTGTCCTGTGAAAGCTTCAATAGAAGACTCAACTTGTTTGTAATGTAGGAACAGCAAAGCCAAATCAGGCTCCACACAGAGAGGTGAGAGTAAAACAGTCATTCTTGTACCCAGTGAATAGTTATTTTAAAGTTCAGCTTGTGAAAACTGTTAAATACATTTAAGAAAAAAATTCAGATCATAAGTGAACAGAAACATTTTTACCTACTTATCAAAAATTACACAATGGAGTCTTGGGTATACCTTAACTAGACTTTACAGTACTTATTGTTGGGTCTAGTTAAAAGTTTGCTTTTCTCTGTCAGTTTCAAAACAGTAACCTATATTGCAGGCCTTTTCAGTGACACCTGAGTTTGGGGCACTTGATGTTGGCGAGAGTATGCAGGTGACTGTGGTTTTCCACCAATGAACACAGGAAACCACAGGCAGGATCTGTTGCTGCACTACCATACTGGTGAGAAACAAAACTGTGACACCAATGAGACTTGTGTTGAAGACTCTTCAAGATGTAACAGATAAATACACACTGATAAGGGCTTGCGAGAGCGGTGCGTATGTGTTTGTTGTTAGGGGCCAGTGAAGTAAAGGTGACATATGTAGGTGATGAAAGAGATATAGCCAGTCTTTAGGAATGAAAATCAGCTCATAATGGCTGTATATATCAATTTCTGTTGGTATGGCTAGATCAAGGGTTGTTTTCTCTTCTCCCTGATTCTTTCATAGTAATGTTACTTAGTGACTTGGTAATGCCAGAATCTGGTATTTAGGATCTCCTGTTGTCTTCATTAGACAGAGTAACCCTGTTAAATTTCACTTAAATCCCGACAGTATTCCTCCATATTTTACAAATGACTAATGAAAACAAAATAGACAAAAAGGTCTCTGATACTATTCTCCACCACTTATGTTACCCTGTGGTAACCAGTTACTTGGTCATAAGCACCATGATATCTTCTACTCAGGTGAGATGTGTACATTAGCCTGCATGGGTCTTGTGAGGAACTGAACTCCACCTTGAACCGACTCCATCTGGATGGGAAATTATGTCTCCCTGATCAGTACACGCACAGTGTCCCTCACAACCACAGTCATCCCTCTCAGTACTGCTGGACTGTGTGGCCAGCAACAAGAAGAGGACCTGAGCTTACTGAGTATTATGCATGAGCACAAAATGTATTTATTAGCATGTGTTGCCAGAAATAGCTCAGGTACCATACATTCTTCTGTCTGTATATCTTTGTCCTTCTACTGGCCTCTTTTTCTCTGACCTCCTCATTTGCTATTTTATACTTTCACTGTCTCTCCCACTTGTCTCTAGGAGGGCTCAGTGCTCCAGCAGAGGAAGAAGTCGAGCTAGGACAGTTGCTTAAGTCTGACCTGCAGGGATCCATTACTCCCGCTGCAGTCCAGAGCCCCACAGGAACACAGATCAGATGCAACAACTACTCTTGGCCTTTCACACTGTATAATGTGGAGCCTCCGGTGGTTTGTGTTCATTGTCTTGTCGTGTGTTCACATATTTTCTCTGCCAGACTGAATAGTTGAATACTTAAATGTCATTACATTGCCCATGTTTCTTTCCATCACTCTAGAGGCAACAATGCTCCTTAGTATGTTGCATAATGTAATAGTTTTAAGTGGGGAGAAGGAACAGGACAACGCACTTGAAATTTGTTGATGTTTCCGTGAATCATTCTTGCAGCATGCTCTACCCTCAGAGCTGTATTATTGCTGTGAGAACAGAATTCTGAAAAGTTTGATCAGATCTGATGTTAAAACAGACTTTGTGATCAAGACGGTTTGCATATAACGTCTGTCTGATTCTTCTGTGACATTAGAACCACAGATTAGGCCTTTCTGTCTAGAGACCTTGAAAGTATGAGCTGCTCTGTCTTCTGTCCCAACTCAGCCCATTCCCTGGACAAAGAGATAGACAGCACAGAGTTAGGGAGGTCACCTGCGTGTTGTGTATGTGTAGAGTAAGCCTGACCAAAAATCAGTTGTTTTCTTCTTTTACGTTTTTGTAATGTTTGCATTTGCTTCACTAAATAATTATTGTTGCTTTACGTGTTCAGGAGGGGAAATATGCCCAGCACACAGCGAAGTTCACCATCATCTTCAAGCCTGAGGAGGCCAGACTTTATCAACAACCATTACTGCGATGTCACAGGTTTATTCCGGTTTTCAAACACACACATACAGCGCAAAAGATAATAATTCATAATGTTATCAGTTTAATCAGTACTTTTTGTCCATTTAGTATGTTTACATTGTTAAAAATAAGCAAATCACAGAACACAGAGGCAACTTTTAACTTCACGTCACATGCATAAAATCTGTGTGATGTTTCTTTCCTGTGGCCTACAATTTCCTTTCTCTGTCTTTAGTTCTATTGTAACTCTTCATCATGCGTTTGTCATCTTTAGGATGTGAATCACCGTTACCTTCACATCAAGGCAAAGGCATGGGCCCTCAACTTGTGCTTAACTATGATGGGATGAACTTAAAAGATTATTCATAGGTGAAGATTTCGCCAAGAGGTAAGAAAACCAAGCCAGTGTGAACACGTTATGTTATTCCCAGTATGGCTCTAATGTAGAATGCTTGAGCTACAACTTTGTGTGAGTTGAATTCAGCCTTGGTGGATGCACTGCAGGTTATAGTTCTTATCACAAGATAACAAAACAGCATATATTGTTAACAAAGCTGTAAATAAAATAAACAAAATCCAAAGTTTTCTTTGACAGTTTTAATG